ATATATATATATATATATATATATCTCAATTTGTTAGTATAATTTTAAAATATTTAATTATTATTACAATACAATAATATAATTTTAAATAATAATAAAATGTAATAAATAATGACATTATTTTAATGAAATCTAAGCAAATTTTCTGCCCTAATAATAATAATTATTGTTATTATATTTTCATATTTTATTATAGTTATTACAACACGATAATAAAATACTAAATAATAAAACAAAAATAATTAAGACAATGTAAGCTTTAAGAACATTACATTTTCATTATTTTCAACATTTTATTACATACAACATATTACAGTACAATAATTAAATACTAATAATAAAACATGAGAAATAAGACGATAGAACCTTTAGGAATCATTGAAATCTTTTGCATAATGACAATTTTTTTCCTGAAAAATAAGCAAATTTTGAGCTCAAATACCCTTTATTAATATCGTTTTTTTTGTAGTAGTAGTACAATACAGTAATACAGCTTTATTCATTGTATTACCGTTAATAGAAACGCTCTAACACAATATTTTTTCATTTTGTGTGAAATATGACCTAGACTTCTTGATTTGGTTTTGTGAGATTCCCGAGATAAACTGAGATCACAAACACAGTCATAAAAATGAACGTCCTCATTGATGCCAGTAACTAATTTGTCAGGTAAATGAAGGTCTTGTTTTGAACCCTGTTCTCCCTCACATTTCTGCTGTATCAAACCATAAACCTCCAGTGCCTGTTTGCTTCACCTGAGGAAGCGGCTTCATGTTTAAAATACTGCATTCACCTCAGTCCTCATGTAAGTGAATCTCATAAAGAAATACCTGGGTCAGAGAAAAATTATATATATGTTGCATAAAGAAATAAGGCCCGTTTTTCATCATTTATTGCTCAGTTTCTCTTAAAATTGTTACTTCCAATTACAGTAGTTGCTTACTTCATAAATGTAATTAACAATTTCAATAATATATAATTTATTTTTTGCACTGCAGTCTTAAAACCAATAGGCTTTATTGTCTTTTCTGCAAAATGTATTTTTTTTTTTTTTTTTTTACTTGGGTGAAACATGATCTGTATTTGACCGGTTTTGCGACATTCACTCTGAAAGAAAACCCTGACATTTTTCAGGTAAAAAAAAAAAAGTCCATACCATGATTTATGGACTTTTTTTTTTATGGTGTTTTTCTTTTCAGCATTTTGGAGCTTGACCTCATTGAAGTGATTGAAGGCGAAGAAAAGCCAACAATCCAGTTTTACAGTGTGATTCAGTTCACTTGTGTTCATTTTTAGTGTTTGGTAGAACAAGATTTTTACTGATTTGCTCTCGAGCTTCAGTTATACAATACTAATGACATCTATTTTTAATGTATATTATTAGCACAAATATAGTTTTTTTTCATTATATTGAAGATTCTTAGGGAAACTGAAATAGCCTTTTTATTGCTGATAATCATTTTGTCTTTTTTTTAGTTGGTTATTTTTCTGTTTTTGATTTGCATGTGCAATAATAATCTGCCTTCTATTGCAGTTTTGAGCATAGATTGGATTTTTGGATCAGGTTTTTATGGTGTTAAAAGCAGCAGGATGGGTTGATGTCTCATGTGTTTATAGTGATGACGGCTCATTCATACAGCACAGTTAAACGTGAGACGGGATGCCTGAATATTGGGAGTTTTACGGTTGGACCTCTTTGAGGTAGACGTGCTTGTTTACCAAAATATTTAGGTGAAATCTCTCTTTCGTCCAGCATTTACGTCCTTTTGCAGGTTGCAGAATTATTTTTAAACTCTAATCAGGACTAATGTGTTTGTTCACTACAGGCTGTAGTTTTATTTTTTAATCAGCAATACAAATCATCAGTGTTGGTGGTAAGTTATATGATTAGTGAAGCATTACCAGATGAATCTCATGAAGACAGTTACCATTAAATGGCCATAAAAAACATTATGCATAAAGAAAATGATGCTTATTTTAGGCCTATTACAATTTTTTCCCATGTTTTATTTTAATTAATTTATTCTTTTTTTTATCATTTTTTGCATTGTGACATTTTCATGGCAATTACATAAGCAAAAAATAAAACATTTATTATTATTATTATTGCATTGTGAAACTTTTCATGACAATTACCTTAATATGTCTGGACGTGTTTTGATTTTTTTCCTCGTTATCAAATGTGATTTTTATAAATGTGTAACAGAAAAGTTTATTTAAATCCGCAAAATTGAAAGCATTAAGTGCATTAAAGGGGTCATATGATGTTGCTAAAAAGAGCATTATTTTGTGCTGGTGGGCTTGCGGCAACCACATGTGACGACCCCGGGCTGGACTCCGTGCCGATTTGGTGATCCACAGCGCAAAGTTGTTGTATTTCCTCAGCAACCAGCACGGATCAGCTCCAGGCATGACGAAGCAGATATCGTCCTCTTTTGGAAGGCCAAACAAAGTAGTTTCGCTTTCACAACGAAGCACACAGCGCCTTCGCGACATTGCGGCGGCGTGTGCAACAACAATACTACAGCGAGAATAAAAGTTACGCCTTCTTTCTTTGCGTGAACATTTGGGCGGCGTTATGCAAATCTTCCCACACAGTGACGTAGACATGTGGGGGCGTGTTAGAACGAGCCGTTTTAGGTAGGTGTGGTTGACTCTTAACTTTTATAAAGAATATCTCTTTGGATTTGAGACTTTAGTCTTTGCAACTTTACAGATCTTCTTTATGCACCAAGAGCTTGTAACACTCCAAAGAGAAAGGAACAATTGAAATCGCATCATATGACCCCTTTAATAAAAATTAAACAGTTAATATAGTATAGTATCCCTTTTTCTCTATTAGTGTTTTTTTTTTTGAAGTTGTTTAATTGTCATGAAAATAATGTCATAATTCAAAACTCTTCCTTTAGGGAAAATGTTTTTTTTTTTCTTCTTTTCTTTTGATTTTGGGGTGAAATATGACCTGGCCATAGTTGAGAGATTCCCCTTACCACCAGAGTACATGAGGTTTTGTTTTTCTGTGTGCAATATTAATTTCCTGTAAAAGCCCATTCATTTTTGGAGGTCAAAAAGAATCTCACCCTGGTTACTCAGATAAGGAGTGACATGTCATGCAGTGTTGTTTCTTTAATTTTAAGTAGGTGAAGGACTTGTGTGGTGAGCATCAGGAAATGCTACCTAACTAATGTAGTCTTATTAACTTTTTTAGGGTTCATTGTTTATATATATATTAGATTAAATTTATTTGATCATGTGACCAAACTGTCTCAGATTTGTGTTCATCTTCTCTTTCTTCATACATGTTTTTTATTCTGTTCTGATTTTTTTGAGTTGATGAACTGTCTGTTGATGTTACCATTATTTTTATTTTTATTATTATCATTATTTTTCACGTCTTAAAGAGCATCTTGTGTTCATCTGTTGTGATTATAAGGTCTCCAATAAAGAACTGCAAGATCTTTAAAAGCAAAATCCATCTAAAAGCTAAAAAAAAAGTTAAGATTCAAAGATGACTGTGATTACCTGGAAAGATATCCATCTTATTTTGCAAAGCGTAAGTTCGCTATTTTCTTCATTAGACGCTATCGGTAACTGGAAGAAAAACAGAAAAGTGCAGTAAACGGTAAAACTATTTTCACTACAAAACAGTGTGTTTATGATTTCGATAATAGATTAAAATAATATGATAGCAAATACCAGTTTGCGATATGAAGCAGCATAACGGACTGTTTTGAAACCGGAAGCCGCGCGCGTTTTACCACAGATTACAAGTTGCCGCGCGCAAGGTAAACGCATATTATCTGTCTTAA